TTTCTTTTTTTTTTTATGTATATTAAATAAAAATGTTCAACTTGTTCATCTTCGTCAGTTTCTTCATGGATAGTTTCTGTTTTGCTTGTTGATTGAATATGAATATTATTATCTGTTTGTGTTTTATCATTATTATTTAATTGATTTGATGTTTGATCATTTGAATTAATATTTGTTCCTGTTTGATTTTGTCCAAGATTTTTAAATTGATTAGCAGCAGCTATTTGTGCTCGTTGTGAAAGATCTTCTATTTTAGCTTCACCAAAAACAATATAAGTATCTGATGCTGGACTTTTATAAACATCAGGTTTTTGTATAACAAATAATATATTTTTAGATTTTCTTATAGTAACACGAAGTATTCCTTGAATTGGACGTAAACCAAGTTTAGCCATTGCTTTTCGAGCTTTTTTTTCTGAACGTGTTTGTTTTTGTTTTGATTGTAATTCTTCTTCAATTCCAGCTGCTTCAGCTAATGGATGACTTTGTTTAACTTCTTCACTTTCTTTTTCACCTTCATTTCCTGATTCTTCTGATGAACTTGATTCAGAATCTATTTAAATTTAATTTTTTATTTTAAAATTTTCTTTTCTTTCTTTTATAAATATTTATTTATTTATTTTCAAATAGAATTTTGTCTATTCTTTTTTTTTGATTCGTTTAAAAATTATTCAAATTAATTAAAAGAAATAAGAAAAAAAAAATGTTTGATTATTTAATTTAAATAATGATGATATATGAATATAAACGTATTTAGGATAAAAATAAAATGAAATAAATTAAAAATGTAAACATTACCATCTTTAACATCTTTTATTTGAACAGTTGATTCTGATTGATTAATATCATTTGATGTTGCTTCAACAGATTCTGTTGCAAGAATTGGCATTTTAAATAATATTTTTTCTTGTTTTGTTTTGTTTTGTTTTGTTAAATAAATTTATCTAGAATAGAATATTATTTAAAGAGACATATTTGACGAACGATTATACAATAGAAATACATAAAAACAATTTTAAATTAAATATTTTCTTTTTTGAAAACAAAAGAAAAAATTTCATTTAAATTATAAAGAAGAAAAAAAAAAAAAAAAAAATTAAACTTTGTTTAGATTTTGTACAATAAAAAGTAAAAGAAGAAAGATGTAGAAAACGAAAAACGAAAAAAGAAAAAAAAGAAAAAAAAGAAAAAAGAAAAAAGAAAAAAGAAAAAACGAGATAAATAAATGAGAAATAATTATTTAAATAATAATTGTCTCATTCTTAATGCAACTAAAGCTGCACTTATTCGACCTTCAGGATTTTGATCCCAACATTGTTCTATAGTATAAACAATTTCATTAATTGATTTATTATTTGATCTAATCCAATTATTTTTAATTAATGGACGATTAAAAGGTTTTTCAAGATTAATTATTTGTAACATATCATTTACTTGAGGATTAACACTATTTAAACCATGTTCAATTAATTGTTTTTCATATGCCATTTCATATTGATTTGAATTATCTTTTAATTAAATAAAATATTAAAATTAATTTAATAAATAATTAATAATTTACCTTCATTTTCATATCGTGATAATATTTCCCAAAAAACAATACCAAGAGCATAAACATCACATTTAAGTAAAGCATGCGTTTCACATCCAATTGTTCCTACTAAAATTTCTGGTGACATATATCGAGCTGTTCCAATCTTTTTAAAATAAACAAAAATATTATTTCTTA